GTACAGATTTCGGGTAAATGATAGGGTTCAAGATTTGCAGGCTGCGGTAAGCTTTTGCAAATTGCAATCGAGTTATACCCCTCACTACAGTAGTTGAGCAGGTCCGTTGAGCAGATCAGTTGAGATAGTCAGGTGAGAAGCTCAGTTGAAATGTGACCAGGTTCAAGCAGATCGCTTGTGCACGATGCTGCAGAATGAATCCCCAGTACAGATTTCCGGTCAACTAAAGGGCTTTACCATTTGCAATGTGGAGTCGCAAACAAGTTATGGGTAAGATTTCGCAAATTGCAGCAGCGAAATTCCAGCTGTCTGGCGTTGCCAAATGGCGGAGTGCAGTATCTTGTCAAGATACATACCGCTGGTTGATTGATTCTCAGATCCCCAGAAGCATTGCTTTCGGGTACGGATACACTCGATTAACCAACCGTTTAGGGCTGCAGCGGCCACACAGATCGTTTCCCTTTTTGATGGAAAGACAGGACTGGCCACTCAACACAAAGAGAGTATTCATTGAAAAGGGTACAAATACACTCAATTACCAAAAAAGTTAATTGCGTACCTGGTTATCTTCCGGGTACGAATACACTCAATTAACCAAAAGGTTCAGGCCTGCCGCAAAATTCTTTGCTTCCTGTTTATTCTTTCGATTTTGTTTCTTAAAATTTGAGTTAAAGTTTCAAGAAAAATACTCACACTGTGTAAAATTTCGGCAAATTGAGCAAGTGATCTATCTAAATTTGGATTAAAAAACAACCTCAAATAAGGAAGTAATTGATAACGTGTTTATTCCCTCAACACAAAGGGTTGTGGTTTCAGAATCCTTGTGATGGCAGAGAAGGAGCTGCAAGTCAAACCCATACATACCTCGATTGGGGTCATGTATCTAGGACTTTTCCCCTCCCCTCCTTTCCCAGGTCGAGGCTGCCCCTTCAGCGCCTCCAAGGTCAACGCCACTTGCCCATCATCTTCGTCCATGTCACCATCCTCGTCGTCAATGTTTTTCCGTTCCTTATTTTTTTCCACTGTCTCCTCCTCAAGTTGACCGACCTCGTCGCCATCATGGAGAATATTCGACAAGACATCCTTCAGCACAATGCCCTTCGCCGCATTCCCCTTCTCTCCTCTTGCACCGAGTGGAACCTACAACAGAACAACACATAATAAAAAACAGCGGGGGATGGTGGTGGGTGGGGAGGGAACGAAAGATCAAAAAAAAAAAAAAAAAAAAAAA